GTGAGCATACCCTGACCACTGCTGTGTCCTGTTTTCTGTTAGTACAATTGTAATTTCTCTGTTATCCCACAGTTCACAGATCAGGAAAGGAAGCTGATGGAAGTGACGACAGAGTTTCACAAAAAAGTAAGTGTTGAGCTAGGTTTGTTTCATCACAGAATCCCAGACTGGTTTGTGTTGGAAGGGACCTTAAAGCTCATCCAACTCCAGCCTCCTGCCATGGGCCGGAACACCTTCCACTAGAGCAGGTTGCTCCAAGACCCATCCATCCTGCCCTTGAACACTTCCAGGCCTCTCAGGCTGAAGTCTGAGAGCCTGAGGGTGGACATGTCCCTTCTTCAGCATCTGCTTTAATTTCTGGATATGGCTTGTGAGTGCTTAAACCTTTTTGTGCAAGAATGTTCTGTATGTGCTGTGGAATGCCTCCTTCAGGAGGCACTGGCATAGCAGAGATAAAAGTGTACGACCCACGTTGGGGTGTTTTTGCTCTCTCTCCCTTCAATATTCTTCCTGGATTGTACTAAACATTGTTCTGTGTTTTCTAAGGTCTCTTATCAGTTACATATTTTATTCCAGTTATAGGCTGGAAGTTTATGTCTGTCTTGTTGCCTGTAGCATGGTGCTCTTGTTTGGCTTTACGAAGCTGAACGGGCTAGAGGTTGTTGTTAAACACATGCTCTCTTTTCGTGTTTCAGGATGCCAGTACCAACAGTGTTATCTCAGAAATCAGTAATAAGATTGACACTGAAATAGCTTCCTTAAAAACACTCATGGAGTCGAATAAACTTGACACAATACGTTATTTGGCAGGTATGTGATGGGTGGGGGGGGTACCAGTAGTTTGGATGTATAAAATCTTGCTCAAGAGTATTTGCTTGAACTGAAGGAGTCAGTTGTATAGCAGTAGACAGCTGGGATTGAGCTGGGGAGATCCTTCCAACTGGAAGAGATGGGACACAGAGCACAGAAGGGGTTGGGGCATGCAGGCTGCTGCTGCTTTGGACTGGGATTGTGCCCAGAACTGGGATTAGGAGGAATATGAACATGATTAACAAATAACAGCCTGAATACCTTGTGTAGTCTGACAGTACCTCAGCTTGCTGCAAGGCTACAAAACTTCTGAGGTGATGCAAGTTACGCTGGAAGTGAGCTGTCATTCAGGGCTGAACTGGGAGTGACAGCTCTGCCTCCAGACCCAGAGTGCTTTCCCCTGCCAGCAGAACAAACTTCTGTCAACATACACATAACCAGTGACATTTGTATTGTGTTGGAGCTGGATTAAAAGGGGATAAGGCTTTATATTTAGAAGTGAGAACAAGTTCAAATGGAAACATAATTAGCTTTCTTCTAATGCTAACTGAAACAGCAGCTTAACAAATGTGAAACAACTCCTCAGGCTTCAGACATGCAGCCTGGGTATCATAGAATGGTTTGGGTTGGAAAGGATCTTAAGCTCATTTGATTACAGACCCCTGCCACAGGCAGAGACAGCTTCCACTAGAGCAGGTTCCTTCAAGCCCTATCCAGCCTGGTCTTGAACAGTGCCAGGAATAGGGCAGCCACAGCTTCTCTAGGCACCCTGTGCCAGTGCCTCAGCACCCTCACAGGAAAGAGCTTCTTCCTTACATCTAACCTGAACTTCGCCTGTTTAAGTTTAAACCGAGTGACTGAATCAAGTATCCAGCTAATTATTTTCTTCCTTTATTTTTTTAACAGCTTCAGTATTCACTTGCTTAGCGATAGCACTGGGATTTTACAGGTTCTGGAAATAGATCCATGTGGAATGACTGCATCACAGAGATGGAGAAAAGGCTACACAGGCAGCATCAGTTGGACAGTGGTGTTTGCGCTGTAGATAACCTTGGTACCTTTTTGTTTTGATACCCTTACTGTGCACTATTTGCTGAATATGTAATGCTAAAGATCAAAGTAATTGGGAGGGAAGTAGCCAAACAGGAATACTACATTGTCCTTCATGGAATACTGTATTTATTTCCAAGGATGATTTATGCTAAAGCAGAAAGTGTTTCCTGATGCGTTTTAGGATTAATTTTGTTTTCTTTTTGGAACATTCTCAGTGGAACATTCTCATTCTCACCTCCTTTTAGAATGGAAATATTAAACATTTGATCTGCCCTTGAACTGAGAATACCTTTCCCGTGTTGGTATTCCCAATGTGGGAACACTAATGCCAGATTCCACAGATCATCTCTGATCCAAATATAAATTGGATTTTTGCCTTCAATCTGTTCCTCTCTTCTGACAGATTGAAGCCTGGCCTTTTGGGGTTTTTAATATATGTATATATATGTATATACAAACCCACACTGCAGCGGCCTTTACTAGAGAATCCCTGTTTTTTTCTTGAGAGCTGGTTTACATATATTTCAAATCTCATGTAGAACTAAAATGCCTACTTAGATTCGGGGTTTCTTTAGCGTCTCTTGCAATTTCCGTAGCCCCAGAGGTCAACAGAATGGGAGAACTTCTCTGTGTCTTTCCAGGGGGAAACCCCTCTGCTCACAGCAGCCCCGGGGCAGATTAAGTGCTCTTAACTCCTCCCTTCAGGTAGTACAGAGTATTTCCAGTAAACCCTGGTGTATGTTCTGGGCATAGGATCTGGCTTGTAACACGGAAATACTCAGCATCCCAGTGGTGTCCTCCTCCTCCCATCTCCTCCGGACTGTCCTGTGATTCCGTGGGACGTACTGCCTCTCCTGCCTCCTGGTGATGATTCCTCTGCCTCCTACAAGGACTTCACACCTCTCACTGCAGAGCTGGGGCATAGCTGGTGGCTGCCTTCCAAAACTGAAGCGTGCAAGTTGGGTTGGAAAGGAATTCTATGGGATAGAAATCCCAGAGATTTTGCATCTGGAGTGCAAATGCATGGGCTTGGTTTGGGTCTGCTAATAAAATAGGATTTAAAAACCAGCATTCCTGGATTGCATTTTTAAGAGTAAGTCCTTTATGGGTTACTCAGTGTGTAGTGATTAGTGGCAATTCATTTTTATTGCAGTATTGGTCTGCAGTTTAACTCGCTGGTACCCTACCAAGGATTCTCTGCTGTGCATTAAATTATTTATCATCTTCAGTTAAGAAAATAAAATGAGTTTCTTATATTTGCTGGCTGAGACACCTGAATACAGGTAAGCAGGCTGTGAAAATGGGGCTTTTACAACAGGCACAGTGCTCATACAGCGGGAGTTGAAGCTGCTTTTGTCGTCTTTGTGTTTGACAAGTAGGCAAATGTACAAATCCATCTTCTCATAAGCTATGACCATTTCTGAGGTTCTCTGGATCACAGAATTGTTTAGGTTGGAAAAGGGCTTTAAGATCATAAGTCCAGCACTAAATTATGTCCCCAAGCACCACATCTACATGTCTCTGAAATACCTCAAGAGATGGTGACTCCAGCACTGCCCTGGGCAGCCTGTTCCAATGCCTGACAACCCCTTCTGGGAAGAAGTTGCTCCTAATCTCCAGTCTAAACCTCCCCTGGTGCAGCTTGAGGCTGTTTCCTCTTGTCCTGTTACTTGTTACTCGAGAGAAGAGCCCAGCCCACTCCTGGCTCCATCCTCCTGTCAGGCAGTTGTAGAGAGTGATAAGGTGTCCGTCCTGTCCCCTCCCCGAGCCTTCTCCAGACTAAACCTCCCTCAGCTGTTCCTCATCACGCTTTGCTCCAGGCCGTGCACCAGCTGTTTCCCTTTGGACGCACAATGACTCGGGTTGATCTGTTGCACTGTTCCTACAAGAGAGTTTAGCCCCAACAGACACATAGGAAATGGCTCATGTACTGCAGCTTCTCACCGCCCTCATCACTACACTGAAGTGGGCTCTAGAGCGTTTCTCCCCTAGCTCAGAAGCAAGGCCCGTGCTGTCAGTGTACCTGTCCCTCAGCCTGTGTGCACAAAAGCACTGATTTCTTTTCAGCACCTTTGAAATTCTCAGAGATTAAGCTTCCTTTGGTAACTGAGGAGGGAACAGCGCAGGATTCAAGCACTAAAACAATTTTCAAGCGTGTGGATTTCTTACGGAAATCAAAACCCTCAAAATATGCAAGGTTCCAAAGGGACAAGAATTTCACAATAGCGCAGAGGAAAATCTTTGTACGTGAAGTCATGAGCTGGTTTTAGGCGTGGAGGAGAGGTCAGGATTGCTGCTACTGTGATGTGAACTCTTCAACCCTGAGCTAGACTCGAGTCACTGCTGCAGCTCAGCTGGCACCTCACAAAGGGGCCACTGCCTGGCTTATTTAGGAATGACTTGAAGATGGAAACCAAGGGGCCTGGTCTGTGTCTGCAGCCAAGTACTTCTCACAGAGACCATTGTGGTTCCACACTGAAGGTCCTCTCTGATTATTTCAGGAGTTAAGGTGCTGGGTTATTCCGCTCCTAATGCAGCAGTACAGGATAGACGAGGCAATAGGGATACCCATCTCAGACCTGGGAGGGCTGTGACATTGCTGCAGGTAACTCTTGAAATGTCCCCTCACAATTTGCAGTGTTGTTCCTGAACTGTTACCTGGGCAGGAAGAGGAGTCTTGATGCTTCCTTTAATAAAAAAAAATGATGCTGCTGTGATTAAAGAATATTTTCTATCTCAGAGAACTAAAAAAGCAGTTCAGAGAAGGCTCCAGGGAGATCTTAGGGCAGAAATCTGGAGAGGGACTTTTTACAAGGGCCTGTAGGGGCAGGACAAAGCTTTGCTTTAAACTGACAGAGGGGAGATTGAGCTATAGGATGAAATTCTTTACTAATGAGGGTGCTGAGGCGCTGGCACAGGGTGCCCAGAGAAGCTGTGGCTGCCCATCCCTGGCAGTGTTCAAGGCCAGGCTGGACACAGGGGCTTGGAGCAACCTGCTCTAGTGGCAGCGGTAGGAACTGGATGAGCTTCAAGGTCCCTTCCAACCCGAACCATTCTGTGATTCCATGATTAAATGCAGAGAACCACGACACCTCTGTGGAGCTGGGCTATGCAAACACTTTGTGTTGTCTGGAACATTGCCATTCTCCCTCCTCAGGCTGCCCCTCCTTGGAGCTTCACCCCTCAGCGTAGTCTCACAAACACTCCCCCAGGGCTGCAGGCTGGTTTCTTCTTTACTTTCGTTTTTTCTTTGCAAGGCTTGGAGGTGGTCTCAGGTTCCTAAAACAAAGGCCATCACTGCAGCCATTAAACAGCAATCATAGAGTCATAGAATGGTTTGGGCTGGAAGTACCTGGGTAACCCTTTAGATGGCGACACCCCCCTCCTGAAGCATGATCCAGCCTCAGATACCAGCCAGGATGGACTATCAGTCACTGCATACGCATCGTGGAAGTACTCGGGGATCAGTCCACCTCCTCTACTTAACAGGAAGATGATAAAGAATATTGTTGTTTCTTTGCCAGGGTACAAAAAGAAACTGGTACCCTTAATAGCACTGTCAGGACACGAAAAAGGATACTGTCCATTCCTGTCCCCCAAGCTAAAAGCTGCTGGCACATTTATTCCAGTATTTGGAATACTCACTCTGGAGCAAGTCCAGAGGAAGCTGCGAAGATGCTGTGAGGGCTGAAGGATCTCAGCTCTGGACAGTCTAGGAGAGCTGGGCTGGGTCAGCCTGGAGAAGAGAAGGCTCCTGAAGGGGAGACCTTAGAGCAGCTCCAGTGCCTAAAGGGGCTCCAGGAAACCTGGAGAGGGGCTTTAAACAAGGGCCTGTAGGGACAGGACAAGGGGAATGGCTTTAACCTGACAAAGGGGAGATTGAAATGAGCTCTTAGGCAGAAGCTCTTCCCTGTGAGGGTGCTGAGGGGCTGGCACAGGGTGCCCAGAGAAGCTGTGGCTGCCCCATCCCTGGCAGTGTTCAAGGCCAGGTTGGACACAGGGGCTTGGAGCAACCTGCTCTAGTGGAAGGTGTCCCTGCCCATGGCAGGGGTTGAAACTGGATGAGCTTCAAGGTCACTTCCAACACAAACCATTCCGTGATTTCCCATCACAGTGCCTAGCAACGAGCAGCAGTACCCTCTGTCCCACACACTGGGGGTGTTCATGTCACACTCACCATGGGGGCAGCAGGAGAGCTGTATTGTTTCTCCTGTTTCTCCAGGCTCGCTCTCAGTTGGTTTATCTTGGCACGGCACTCATCCAGCTGACTCTCCAGCTTCTCCCGCCTCACTCGTTCATATTCCAGCTGAGCCTCCAGCTCCCTCAGAGCCCTGCCGAAAGCAAACGCAAGGAGTAGGGTGCGAAGCGCATCCCGACCTGCCCTGGCCACTCCACAGGGTCCTGTGCCTTTGCTGAGGAAGAGGTTAGTCACAGCAGAGAGCAGAACTCCTCACAGCAGCTGTGCTGGGGTACGCTCCTGGCTCAAACCCTTAGTAACAGCTCTGAAGAGCTGGTTCCTCCCTCGCTGTCAGCCGTGCTCAGCGCAGTGTGACCACGAGATGGAGATGTCTTCCCGCAAACCGAGCCTGTCAGCAGGACCGTGGGCAGGCTGTAACCCTGGTCCCTCTCCAGCTGTGGGCGACGGAGAAGTGCACAAGGAGCACAAAGATTAGTGTGAAACAGCAAAAAGGAACTGAACTGGGATTCTGGAAGGGGCAGGGGCAGCTTTTTTGTCCTGGTGCCTCTACAGCCTTCCTAGTGGTTGGCTTAGCCACAGATGAGGAATACTCAAATGACAGCCTGCACGGAGTCCTGTGTTCTGCTCTGGGGCAACATCACAAGAGGGACGTGGAGCTGCTGGAGTGAGTCCAGAAGTGGCCACAAAGATGCTGCGAGAGCTGGAGCAGCTCTGCTCTGGACAGTCTAGGAGAGCTGGGCTGGTTCAGCCTGGAGAAGAGAAGGCTCCAGGGAGACCTTAGAGCAGTTCCCATGCCTAAAAGGGCTACAAGAAAACTGGAGAGGGGCTTTGGACAAGGGCCTGTAGGGACAGGATAAGGGAAATGGCTTTAACCTGACAGAGGGGAGACTGAGATTAGGTATTGAGAATAAATTCTTCCCTGTGAGGGTGCTGAGACACTGGCACAGGGTGCCCAGAGAAGCTGCGGCTGCCCCATCCCTGGCAGTGTTCAAGGCCAGGTTGGACAGGGCTTGGAGCAACCTGTCCCTGCCCATGGCAGGAGGTTGGAACTGGATGAAAGTTCTCTTCCAACTCAACCAATCTGTGATTCTGTGACACTGACTAAAGGGAAACTAAAGCACTGCCTGCTAAACAGTTGCACAAGATCTCATCAGTCACACCCACCACAGCTCCTAAATTAACTGTGATTCCTGGAACTGGTTTGCTGAGACATAATTCATGCATATTTTTACTACATAAGATACTGACCTCAGCAACTGAGTCATCTGGAGTTGAGCTGCTCTCCTCTGTATTGGGATGAACTAGCACAGCTACGACCATAGGAGCTTGGTAAAAGGAAAGGGAGACATCTGCCCTGTGCATTCATAGAAACACAGACTGGTTTGGGTTGGAAAGGACCTTAAGATTATGCAGTTCCAACCCCCTGCTATGGGCAGGGACACCTCACATTTTGCCCAAGGGTCTGTCCAACCTGGCCTTGACCACTGCCAGGAATGGAGCATTTAAATATACTACAGTGGCCTTCCCAAGTGGCAACTCCTGCTTTCCATCCAGCAAAATGGTGTTGTCACTAGTTATTTTGAAGTAATGAGGTTTTCTGCCACATGACACACGCCTCTTGGGATTTATCCACATGTGGGTGCCCTGAGAAGGGGAGGTGGGTACACTGAAAGGTGCTATTCCCATTTCAAAAGGCCAGTGTGGAGCTAGGGATGTTTTTAGCCTCCACAGGTCAGAGACCCTTCAGAGAGCCCCACAATTTTCCTAGTTTAGCCACACATGCCACAGAAAGCAAAATCCCTTAAAGAGTCTTATCAGAGCCCTCTAACAGGCACTGACATCTTCTGGGTAGCTGCTCTTTCCAAAATGAACTCTAACTACTGCCATTAGTCAACAGTGACCTTTTCTGTCACTGCAGACAGATTGTTCTGACCTTCCAATGCAGCATCAACATCAACCTCCTTAAAGCCAGGAGAGACAAGCCTCAAGGAAGATGAAAGATCTCATCCTGAAGTACATGTCAAATTATGCCTGGAAGTGCCTACATCTCTCCAAGAAGTCTAAAGAGGAGCTCAAGGTAACTAACTCAGATGCAGCTATCTACATTGCAGACACATCAAGTCATTTTTGACAGGCAGAGGTGGACACAGGGCTGTCTTTTGGATGCTGCGTTATTGTTCAAGCACTAAATCTTTGCTAGACAGAAGGGCTTTTCTTTGAAACTTAGTCTGCCCATCAAATCACCAGTCTGACAGGATGCTTTCATTTAATGGGAGACCCTGAGAATTAGACATTATGAAAAGTGCTTCATGTGCAAGAGCAGGTTTGCTGAGATTTCTGTTTTCTGTGTTCTGGATATGAGCTAATGCTTTCTTGAGTGCAGAAATATACTGCCCCTGACACGAAAATGTAGCAGGTCATTGAATAATTTGTGCTGGGTATGCACTTCCATCCAAGCCATGCTATGACTAATGCCTTGTGTTAAAGTACATCCATGTATTTGGCATCCTCAGCGCAAACAAAACAGCCAGGACTTACCAGACCTACTGCACATATGCTGCAGGAGAGCCTGAAGGCAGAACAGATGGTTTTGCACAAAAGGTGTGGGCCCATCAAACACTTCTGTTGTGCTGTGGGACTGATCCTGGTGGTAGTAGCTTAGAAATGGTCAAACTGCTGAAGTGCATTTCTTTTTGGCCTTTTGGAAGTGGAAAAGGCAGAGTGGGCAAAGTAATCTGCGTGTAAGTTAGCTTTAAAGAAAGCTTTAAAATGGACCTCACAGAGTTAAACCTTAGCAGGGCAGATTAGCCTTACTTCTCAGCTTCCCTTTCTTCTTTCTTCGTCTTCTTTTCCTCTTCAGTTATTCCTCCCAGCTGCCTGTAGTTGCTGTAGGCAATTTCTAGCAGTTGCTGAAGTTCTTGAATCTTGTGATAGGCTCTCACTGTAAGACAGAGTTCTCCAGGTAGGTAAAATACATGGAGAAAAGTCATGCTGGAATCCTATCCTCTGGAAAACAGTCTCATAATCACAGTGCTCAGCAAACACTGAGCTACACCTGACACCCACACAGCAAACAGGTCTCAAAACCAAGCAGAATCCAACATGGTTCCACCAATATGGATTGAAACAGAGTGAAAATTGTGTTCTGATTGCTTCTGCTGTGCTTTCTGATCTTCCAGTTTGTTGTGGTACAGATATCCTGTCAACTGTCTCTCCTTAGAAGAGAAAAGACACAGCAGTTGACAGAAACTGTGCAACTAGGGCTATAATGTCTCAAGACCAACTGTTTCAAGCAAGGAGTGATGGAAAAAGTACTTACTGCGCGCATCCCTCTTCTCTGCTTTACCCGGTGTTACATCTGCTTTGCTATCTGTGCTCCCTTCCATACCATGGCTTTCAAAGAACTTTATGTTGTTTGCATCTAGTTCTTCATCACTTGAGTTACTGTCTCCAGTTCTCTGTACCAGAAGTTCCACAGCTGCCAGTTGGGCAAATCTGCAAGGAGAACAGCGAACCTGCACTGAAATATCCCCACCGACTGCAAAATGCATGTGAGAGAAACTCTCTGAAACTCCTCGTGTTCCCATTTATCAGAGAGGGGGTCAGGATTAAAGGAAGCACAAGCTATGAGCAGCTCATCTGCTTTTATAGTATTCTGATGGCATGAGCTCTGCCTCCATGGAATCTTATGACAATAACTCCAACATCAGAGGTATCTTTTTGTTTGCAGGGTTTTGTAATTGAATCCCATCAGAAAATGCATTCTTTTTATTCATGCAAAACTTAGGTGGCCTGAGCTGCTTCTCATTTACTTTGTAGAGCAAACTGTGAGCATACTGGCTCACAACCTTTTGCAGGTCAGCTAGTTTCCATCTTTCATGTCTGACCTTGCTAAAATATGTAACTGAAGTGAAAATTAAATCCTTTTATAGCTACAGTACAGCTTTGCTTATCACTCAGAACTGGAATACATGGGCCTGATCTGTTCTTGCTCCATCACTGAAAATCAGGATTAATCCCAAGAAAGCTGGCATAATATTGATATATAAATAATAAGGAAATAAATGGCAGAGCTACAGGGTATGGACTGCTACCTCTTGGCTACATCCTTTGGAGTCTCTCCAGCATCATTTGTAATGTCACAGTCAGCTCCCATTTCAATCAACCACTGTAGGCACTGGATCTGCCCCTGTCCAGCAGCTAAGGGAAGGAAGGTGCACACAAGTCAGGTATATTCCACTGAAGCATTTCAAATCTAAAATGTTCTCCTCTTGTCATTATCTGACATGCCAGAGGCTGTATTGCAAGAGAAGCCTCTATGTCAAGATGCTCAAGTCACACAGAACCATTGCAGAAGTCCATGCAATGTGGTTCTGTGACTCTTTCTAGTTCTAGATATTTACTGGCAGCTCTTCCTGGACACAAGTTAAATTAAACTTGCCCAATCTCATGCACTGAGAATGAGACACAGAAGTAACTGCTGCCTCACACTCTCTTGCAGTAAGGCCGGTGTGTGTCATAAATCTGCAGCAAAGCACTGTCACCTCCCTCCAGCTTCAGGCTCCCATCTATCTGGGATGGACAGACTGGTTACCCCAGTGTGTGATGCTGTCTTAGGAGGAGAGAGGCCAAGGCTTTGTGCTGCAGCTATAGGGACATCGTTTCTTGGGCCAGACACTGAAGGCAAAACTTCTCAGCTTCAGCGTAACACAACAGCTTGGCCTGTTCATATGACCTGGTATGACCGCTGCTCACACCGCATGGTGCCAGGAATGGTGCCTCACATACAGAAGAAAGCATTTGGCATGTCTAGCTCGAACCTAGAAGCTGCTTTCTCAAGCTTATTCTTTTCAAGGAAGAATAAATCCATTTCTTCATAACAGCCCCTTGCTATGTTTGTTTACTTCCTGAGAAAGGAAATGAAATTACAGTATCAACCACAGTACTTCCCCATAACACCAACACTGTATGTAAAGACTGGGGATGAAACAGTGGGTTAGCATTCCTCCAAGAAAAGAGGATGGGAAAGAAGATAGAAAACATTTTTTAAATCACTACATATCCATTTATTTTAATGAGAACTTCAATTCTGTTTTCCAAAATTCTACCATTTAGACCTAGACAAAAAGAAATAGTGTTAAAAGCATGTTACAGAAATACCTCCCTCTTTCTTTCCTCTTCTATTTCTCCTATTCTCCCTGGAGAAAAGAAGCTGCATGGAGACCTCAAAGCAGTTTCCAGTATCTAAAGGTGGCCTACAGGGATGCTGGAGAGGGACTCTTCCATCAGGGACTGTAGTGATAGGACAAGGAGTGATGGGTTTAAACTGAAAATGGGGAAGTTCAGGTTAGATATAAGGAATAGATATGGTGAGGCATTGGAATGGGTTGCCCAAGGAAGTGGTAAATGCTCTATCCCCGGCAGTGTTCAAGGGAAGGTTGGACAGAGCCTTGGGAGACATAGTTTAGTGTGAGGTGTCCCTGCCCATGGCAGGGGCTGGAACTGGATGATCTTTAGGTCCTTTCCAAACCATTCTATGATTCTATGTCTTCTTTCAGACATTATCATGAATCCCACAGACACAAGAGGACCATCCTTCTGCAATGCTAGCACTCCACTACCTATCAAGGTGGGAGATACCAGAAGTTCACCTTCCTTCCCAGCTCCTACCAAATGACTTTGCTGTGGTTTCCACAGTACTGATATGTTCAGTAAATAAAGGCCCAGGCCAGACCACAGACCATTCTCATACCCAGCTGGCCAATGTTTCTAGAAGTCTCATCTCTCCTGATTAAAAAGAAACTATTTCGTTTTCATCTTAGATGTTGTTTTCTCTTTAACATAAACTCTTCTCTCTTGACTTCAGCTTGGGCATGTTGTTTTTAAAGTGACACCTACACACACATGCATCACAAAATCTGTTTTGGGGGTTGCCCTTTCAAGCCCTCAGGAAATGAGATGCTATTTTCATGGAGTTTATCTGAGGAGGAGCTGCTTGAAAACCTTCCCCGTGTGCAACAACAAACAGTAACAAGCTGAAACACAAATCATAGTTACTGACCTTTGTGCATAAGAGTGGATCCCTCATCATCCCGCTCATTAATATTGATCACTCCACTTCCCACTAATCCTCTAAGTGTTAACAAGTCCCCTTTGGAAGCAGCACCATGAGCTGGGAAAGCTAAAACTGAAAATGAAATGCACATGTTTCCAAACAGATGCCAGTAATCCCACTAAACATGTTCCTATTTGTCTCTCAGGCTTTGTCTCTCTCATATCATATGCATGGGCACTTCATAGCTGGAGTTCGAAAGGTTAATGCACCCTTAAGCACTTAAAATGCAGCTGCATAACTAGCACTGTTCATCAGAGACCTGACTAAACACGTCTTGGTTATGGCTACAGGCATCTTATACAGTTAAGAGATTCATACGATAAACCTGAAATAACAAGGACACCTTTGGTTTAGAGTTGATGTTGTATTACTGGTGGTGACCTGAGTAAGTAACCTGCCCATTTTGAATTCCATACCCTAACCAAATATATCAACATTTTTCCTTCTCCTTGCTTAGAAACTATTGAAATTTATAGACAATTTTATTTTTCTACTTATTTTTTACAAATCTCTCCTGGAGTTTAAGAAGAACGTGGCTAACTCGGTATTCATAGTGCCACACAGTGTGACAAGTTTCATTCTGATCGTTGGTAAACCTAAGGGATTTATAAAATCCCACTGAATATTCCAGTCTTTAGCCATCAGGAAGTGTAGGAAGCATTGAAAAGAACAATGATTAACAATTTCAATGCCTGTTTTAACAGTACCTTGATCCATACTCACCTGCCTGTGTCTCTGGATGCTGCCTCTCTTTTTCCACACCATCAATATACTGCAGGATATTATCTTTATAGAACCGTTCAGCCAAGTCCCTTGGAGTCTCTCCTTGGTCATTCCTGGCTTTTAGTGTGTGCATCACAGTGGCCATTTTACTGACCAAGAACTTGAAGCAATGCAAGTGCCCTTCCACTGCTGCTAGATGAGCTGTAGAACAAGGTGAAATGAAATATGCTAGCGCAAAGCACTGCTGACCAGCAAGAAAGCAGAGCTCTTGGTTAGATCCAGCTCATCTGCCAGCATTTGAGCCATCCAACACCACACAAGTAGGAGCAGCCTCAGTTAACAGGGGGTGTTCAGCTCCTATCCAGGACAGAGTTCAGCCCAATGCAAAGGAGGTAAAAGAAAGTTGTCAAGGATCTGCAAAGAAAATTCATGGCAGAGCTGATCCAGGAGAGAGCACAACACTGCCAAGAGACCACTGCTGGGGTCTCCCCTTCCCACCCCACTCTCCAGCAGCTCTCTGCCTTGACTGTGTAGGGATACTCCTTACAGAGGACCAGCAAGAGGTGTCCTTTATGAGGAGTTAAGGCCATTTTAGTCCCACCTCTACTGTGCCACCTCAAACAAGCTGCATCACCCCTTCAGTTACCCCGCCGTTACAGTGAGGACTGCAACATACACGTCACTGGATATTTGAAGGTACATCCCATGACAGAGGCTCTTATTCACAGCACTTCTTTTGCACGTTTGTTTCCTTCAACTGCTGCTGCATTGCAGAAACTGCTTCACTTCACCACTGCTTCCCAGGGTGGGGCTAAGCGTTTCCTCCCCTGCCCTTTAGGCTATGCTGGGGTTCAGTATTTAATATTACTAGATTTTCTTTTAACAAAAGAACACTGTCCATCAAAAAATGGTCTGACAAGGGCCTGTAGTGATAGGACAAGGGGGAATGGCTTTCACCTGACAGAGAGGAGATTTGGATTAAACATTAGGAAGAAATTCTTCCCTGTGAGGGTGCTGAGGGACTGGCACAGGGTGCTCAGGGAAGCTGTGGCTGCCCCATCCCTGGCAGTGCTCAAGGCCACGCTGGACAGGGCTTGGAGCAACCTGCTCTAGTGGAAGGTGTCCCTGCCCATGGCAAGGGGTTGAAACTGGATGAGCTTTAAGGTCCCTTCCACCCCAGACATGTGCCCAACAGAACTGTGCCATACCATCCCTCAGGCATGCTGAGCACTCGCAGTCAAGACTAAAGCCAAAGGGTACTGTGATGTTAGCACAAAATATGCATCCTAGCGCTGAGAGCTTTCAAAAACCTTGTCCCATGTATCATGAATAGGCAGTGGGTACTTGGGTGTTGTGATCTCACCTTCTCTGTGTTCTATCTCACCTTTTATGCAATCAGACTAACGCTATTGGTTCTTCTCAAAGTCATGAGTGAAAAACAGCATCTGAGAAAAACTCAGATGTTGTGCTATGATTAAATTAATATTGTATTTAGAACTGGTTTAACTAGTGAGCAGGAAAAGCAGCATGGATGTGACCCAAACCAAATACAGAGGGAAACCAAAATGTTGAATTAATTCTGTAGCTGAATGAGCCACACTCTTCCCAAAAATCAGCATGCTTAGGTAACTAAATGCTCAGCTATAACACAGACGTGCAGAAAGTACAGGCAGTTTTTAAGTTTTAGGATATGGCATTGCAAACTCAGTACATTTCTTTTAGTATTCTCTTAGGAAAGATGATAGCACTGTCTAGTTGAAGCTGAGGTATGTAAAGATGATTTAAATCCACTTTGCTGTTTCACAAGCTGAGGGAAAGCTGGTCTATACAGCACACCACTCCAACTGATCTTTTAGTAGCAATGTTCCAAAGCATCTTCTTTCCTCTGGATGATAAGGTGAGGCACTGGAATAGGTTGCCCAGGGAGGTTGTGAATGCTCCATCCCTGGCAGTGTTCAAGACCACCCTGGACGAGGCCTTGAGTGATATGATTTAGCGTAAGGTGTCCCTGCCCATGGCAGGGGGGTTGGAACTTGATGATCTTAAGGTCCTTTCCAACCCTAACGATTCTATGATTCTATGATTCTGTAACAGGATCAAATGAAACTGAACAAAGGCTGGAGGATCAAGACTCTATAGGTGTACAAATAACAACAAACCCAATTTTCTACTAACTGGTATATAGAGAGCATTGAAGTAGAACTGTGCTGGCATTTGCTGTCTCTCCATGAAAGTCTGTTATCAGGGAAGTGTTCCCAAATGCAAACAAAGCTGCCTTCCATGCTGCCACCAGGGTGCCTGACATCATGACCCCTCATAGCTCATACACCAGATGTCCCACTGGGATGCAAGAGCCTCACATTCTTTAACAAGCCCCAGGTTTGCCAAACAGAACATAGAGGTTTACCAGGTACGTGGTGCTTAAGAGAGGAGAAAAGCTTTTAAGAAGGGATTTAAAATGATAAATCTATACAAGTTGCTGAGAAAACAAAATATGCTATTTGGAACAAATAATGGGATAAACCATAAGAAGGAAATTGCTAAAAGGGAAAGGATGGAATAAGAACCCAGGATATGAAGAATAGCATTCAACTTACAGAGGATAATGAGGCAGTGACATGGCAGGCAGAGGAACACTGAAGAAACTCTGAAGAGCAAGGAATAAACAGTGCCCATTTCTTGTGCTAAAGCAACTACACTCATGAGTATGAAAAGGCTAGAGATTACAGCAATTCCAGAAATCAAGATGAAACACAGGTAAATGAGAACAAGGGTTTTACCAAATCAGTTAAGAAAGAGTGGGAAACAAAAACCTACGTATGAACATACCAGCACGTGATCACTCTGCACAGCCATTAAAGCCTAGCACGCATTCAAGAAGGAGCATATAGCAGCTGAAACTGCCTCCTGCTCCACCTACCCTTCTCCTCCTGTGACCTCCACCGGCACACGTGTTCCATCACAGGTGCAGGAATCTGCCCACCACACAGCCTCCTCCCTGTTACAGCACCAAGAGCTCTGATCCTTGCCAGCCACAGCAGGAGGTGAATAGGATAGTCATCGACAGATAAATACTTGGGATCTTATGAATCCCTCCATTCTTACAAAAATTGAGTAATGGCATGGAATCAAATAGCAAATGCTGCTGGTGTGCAATGCATAAGATTTGCCATAATTATCACATAACACAACTGTCAACCAAAGGTTAGACCCCATATGAATTCTCCTGCTATACCTGGAAGGTTTCCATTGTTATCCACATCATCGATACATGCTCCCCATCTAAGGAGAAGCTGCAAACAGCCCAAGCGGCCATGGAAGGCAGCATAATGAACAGGCTTCCAGTCCTTCCTGTCTGAAACATTCACATTCTAAAACAAAAGCAGCAACAGGTTCATTTGTTAATTTATGAATCTTAGTCACAAGACACATTCTATAAATAGGAATGAGCTGTTCATTGCGTTAAATTATGTAAAGCCAATCACATAGTGTTTTGCAAAGTTAAAGGCCATGAATGCAGTTCCCATTCCAAGAGAAGCACTTTTCACAGGTTCTTGGGTTTATTTAAATAAGACACATATAAAAGGTGCATTTTTAGACATGCTTCTATCACTGCATTGGTCCTTATTCCTTAAATATAGATCTGGATGTCTCCCTTACTATAGATCTGTATAACTGCAAAATAACCACCACAGCACTGATCTTCATTTAATGACATTCTCAGTGAAATGTAGTTTAATCACATTATTGATTCTTGCTAGATTTTCAGATATGGAGGGATAGGACAAGGGGGAACAACTTTAAACTGACAGAGAGGAGATTTAGATTAGATGGAGGAAGTTCTTCCCTGTGAGGGTGCTGAGGCACTGGCACAGGGTGCCCAGAGAAGCTGTGGCTGCCGCATCCCTGGCAGTGTTCAAGGCCAGGTTGGACACGGGGGCTTCGAGCAACCTGCTCTAATGGAATGTGTCCCTGTTTGTGGCAGGGGGTTGGAACTGGATGAGCTTTAAGGTCCCTTCCAACCCAAACCACTCTGATTCTATGATAATTCCCCTAATGTGCTTTGCAATAAAAGTGGCAATTTACCATAAAAATAAATTTACAGACAATAAATAATCTACAGTCCTAAATCTCAGTTTAAGCTAGGGAGAGTTTTGTTTGGAAGGAGATACCAAACTTTGGCTGTGTGGTAGGGAACTGCAGGTAAAGATCTCTCACCACTCCATGTCGCAGCAAGGTCTGCAAGGTGTATGAGTGCCCATGGGCTGCAGCCAAGTGTGAGGGTGTGCACCCACGGTCATCCTGAGCTTCTGCATTTGTTCCATTCACTAACAAAGCCTGAAAGAAATGCAGAGCAGAAGTTCAGGTCCCAAAGCATACACTGCCTTGCAGGATGACTTGAGATGATCAGCAGGATAACTCTGGACTGACCTCAAGGCCCCAACACTGCACAGAATAAATCTGTTTGCAATGGCAGCACAAATGAGTGCACTGGTTTTAACAAGGGTGAGTTGATTCCAGGTGTAAAGACAGAAAGATCATAGAATCACAGAATTGTTTAGGTTGGAAAGGACCTTAAGATCATCAAGTTCCAAAACCCTGCCGTGGGCAGGGACACCTCACACTAGACCATGTCACCCAAGGCTTTGTCCAACCTGGCCTTGAACACCACCAGGGATGGAGCGTTCACAATTTCCTTGGGCAACCCATTCCAGTGCCTCACCACCCTTACAGTAAAGAACTTCCTCCTTATATCCCACCTGAACTTCCCATTTCAGTTTGAACCTGTTATTCCTTGTCCTATTGCTACAGTTCCTGATGAAGACTCCCTCCCCAGCATCCCTGTAGCCCCACTCAGATCCTGGAAGGTGCTCTGAGGTCTCCACGCAGCTTCTCTTCTCCAGGCTGAACAGCCCCAACTTTCTCAACCTGTCTTCATACAGGAGGTGCTCCAGCCCCTGATCATCCTTATGGCTTCCTCTGGACTTGCTCCAACAGCTCCATGTCCTTATTATGTTGAGGACACCAGAACTGCACACAGTGCTTCAAGTGGGATCTCATGTGAGCAGAGTAGAGGGGCAGGATCACCTCTCTCAGCCTGCTGGTCATGCTCCTTTTGATGCAGCCCAGGATATTTATGGCTCTATTAGAGCTCTCTCAGTTGATCTTCATAATGAATTTGTCCAAGTGGCAGCTCTGCCCTACTTACTTGAGAGTGAATATTTACACATACCTGCATGCAAGCATCCTGACCCCGGATAGCCGCAAGGTGAGCTGCTGTCCAGCCTCCCACAGTCACACGTGTTGTATCAGCTCCATGCCAGAGCAACCAGTGAAGGCACTGCTCAATTCAAACCAAAAGTTTCTACTTAACTATTCTTATCATGCATCTGAAACACATTTCAACTATAATTATCAGTTGATGTTACATTTCAAAACAGTATCACACTACTTAATTATAGAAACATAACACCCCAGAGTATGCTTTAGCCAGATACTTGTGCATTAGGAAGTTAGAGGCAAGTTACACTTGGCTTTCACCCAAGAGCACAAAATGTGCAAACAATCTACTAGTTGAGACCCTAGCATCGATTTTACTTCTTAATTTTATTCTTCCAGATTTAAAATATAATCTGTGAGAGTATTCCCATGGTAAAAGTGCTGGGAAATAAACAATGCTCACATGCATTCCAGCTAAAATTACTGGCAAGAAAAACACCATGAGCCAAATTTAAAGCCTCACTTAACTTATTAGGCTCATTCTGTGTACATAATCCCACTTTCTTCTCACCCTTCCACAGCCTAGTTTTGTTTTGTTCACTTTTTTCCAGCAGACACTATTGTTTGCAACTGAAAGCTATCCAAATGGACTATCCAAAACCACCTAGAGGACCAATAAGCTTTTTATTACATATTATGATGATTTATTATCTTCTTTGAAGTCAGCCTACAGCTGATTCCTCCACTGTTTCCACCAAGGAGCTTAGCAACAAATAGGTGACAGATAATTCAATAAAATCTAATACACCGACTGCAAAGTAGGAGAATCAGATGAAAAATGACAGTTTACAGAGGCAGAAAAGGGTGGGTAAGCAATATATTTTGGGGGATGACAACATGATGATCAGCATTTTCTTGTCAGTTTCTGTAAATTCCAGAAACAGCCCTGCACTTATTCCTTGAGTTTAGCAAGAACTTTACATTCATTACTCTGGGACATGAATGTTTATATGGTTCTTCCTGTTGCATCAAGGTTAGATTCCTATAAAGAATATACAAGGAGGCTGCAACAAGAGGGTGAATGTTCTGCTCAATATAGCAGTTCAGTCCTTCTGAATGTTCAAATCACTCATTCAAGCACCTGCTGATTTCCCCATCAATATTCAAACATTCCATTTATGAAAGTAAAATGTATTAAAGAGTATTTTTATAGAGAATGAGGCACGTTGGTAGACAGAATGAACATGTTTTCATGTCAGTTCTCAGCTGTTTCAATCACCTTCCGAACATTTTACACACACTACAAGACCTCCTCAGTGTCCCAAGAGAAGGGGAAAACACAACAGGGGCAGAAGAAGGTCATGAGCCTGGAACTGAAGCCATTAGGCACATTTTGCTCACAGTAAGAAAATCACTGACTTTGTAAAATCTGGCAATGCTGACTACATAAACTGCCTGGGGCTTCAGAAAGGGTAAATGAAAACCTAAAATGTTGTATTTCTCTTCTTTCATGAGAAAAACAGGCAGAGGTTATTGATTCAGCTTGATCAAAGCTAGCAGCTCTGTGTCCAGCCTCCCCCAAAGAAGGAAAACAGTAACTTCCAGTGTCTGGACACTAAGGTCATGTTTTACCTCCAGGCTTCCAGAGTGCGCAGCACAGTGCAGCGGTGTGAATTCGTGGACTAAATCCACCTCATTAATACCAGCTCCACTTCTTATCATTGACGCAAGCTGTTCCACATCCCCAGCTTTCACTGCCTCATGCACACTACTGTAGTTTGTCTTCTTGGCATCTACTGAGGAATAATAAAAGGGCATTTGTCAGTTCAGCAGCATTTAAGAGGTAGCAAATAAGTGATGACTCAAAGAAACATCAGGGTGTCAGCTTCAGTGTTCAGAGTAACATGAGATTGAGATTCATGTCAGCAGGAATACAAAGTCATTCCTTTTTGTCAGAAACAGAGCAATGTTCAAACCCCTGAGACAGACATGCCTCCTTCAGCCCCAAAAAGGGCCCAAAAGAGTAAGAACCAGAGAAAACATGACAAGAAGCACAGCAAGAGCAGGAAGCGGAGCTACTCCATCTATGGACACAAACGCTGGAGCAGGTCCACCCCAACACTTGCTCTCTTCCCAAACTGCGGGCATCACAGACTCTGCCATTAATCACATTTTCAAGTACAACACCAGGCAGGCTTCTCACTTGGGCAAATAAGCTTTCAGCTTTTATTTCCCATGTGTTCCGCATGGCCACGTTCCTGCTGCTGCCTGCCTAAGGACTTGGCACAGCATGGAATGCCACAAGGGAGGCTTCAGACCACATAACTGCTACATGGGTCAGGTTCAGGACAATCTGAGGTCAAAACTGAAGCTGCTGTATAAAAGCAGCTCTTTTATACAATGTGTTAGTCACCCTGTGCTGCTCCCTTGCTAAACTACAGCACTGCTCTATCACTGCTTGTCAGCAGCTCCTACCAAAGTCAGTAACATTTTCACTGACCTCAGTGGCACAGATTCAAATTCTAAATGTAGAAGCAACAGGGTCAAAGGAACTCCAAACAATCCATCACCAAGCCATGAGATTAAACAACCTGTGCTCTCCTTCAGGCTTTTCCACTAATTAACTATGTGACTGGAAACAATGGGAGTTACATATCCAAGACCCCTTGCAATAACTTGATATCTTGCCAAAACTTGTAAAGAGGAATATGGGATGTAAGTAGATCTGACGGCTGAGGAGGCTAACTTCAGATAGCCAAGCATGAGAGAGAAGAACCTAAAAGTTAGTGTTCACCTTCTACAGTAGCCATCGTTACAGGATGAAAATGCACTGATTGGATTTCTCGCTGTTAGAAGAAGTCTTGAAGAGGTGGGCTGCTGTTCTCAAGCAAGCATGAAAATGTATGTCTTAAGAAGTATCTGTGCTTCAGTTTCTCTGCCTGTGGAGAAGAAGTGGTGGCAGTAAAAATTTTTATGCAATTTGACATAAAAATATTAAAGAATATAAATGAGATACTGCATGGACATGGAGTCATAGAATGGTGTGGGTTGGAAGAGACCTTAAAGCTCATCCAGTTCCAGTCCCCTGCCACCGGCAGGGACACCTTCCACTAGAGCAGGCTGCTCCAAGCCACATCCAACCTGGCCTGTTCGTGATATATGTAGAACAGAATACAATTAAACCCAGCATTTGCCATTTACCAGTGCCTATTTTCATTTAATCAGTAGTGTGACAGCAGTGCTCAGTGACAGCAGTGCTCAGTGACAGCAGTGCTCAGGCAGATTTGGGGTTGCCACAGAGAGAAAGCGGCGGCTGAACCTGTTTCATCACCCCAGGCTGACAGTAACACATTGCTCGACCTGGTGGCTGGGTATCGCTGCACTTCCACCTCCGCCTGCTCGGCAGGCTCTGCTTCCGTTAGGAGCCAGGACTCCATCGTGCAAAACACTGTCTGGACAAACAGCACCAGCATAGAAACACCGGATAATTCAGGTTGGAAGCGACCTCGGGAGGTCACCTAGTTCACGTTTATGAATAACATGAAAGTATATTTTGTGGTTTGAGTTGTTTTTAAAAGAGGCAACGCCACCATAGGTTCCCCACAAGGGAGCAATTTCTCTTCATGTCAAGGGAGGGCTACAGGCTTCAGTGCAGACACAGACTCACATCAGGGGAGGATATGGCCAGTTCCACCGCTTGCCAAAGTCCTGATGTTTAACACAATGTTCCAGCACAAGTTCAAGGTTATCCTCTGTGTTTCCAAACCCACAACAAAAGCCAAGGAGGAGCCCTGCCAGCAGAGTGAAGCTTGTCTCCCTTCTCCCTCTGGAGACCTACAGCGTGTGGAGATGGATGCCAAGCGCTGCTGCGTGGCTCTTGGCACAGCCCAAGGGGAGCTCCCCTGGGACTGAGGTTCAGCAAACAGCTGCTAACATTAATTCTGTGAGAAACATGGTCATTTTGAAAGCGAAATTACCGGTTCCGTAATTTTAGTGCAACTTCCCGTCAAAACTGTTACCAGATACTCAAAGGAGAAAACTCTGTAGAATTAAGGAAGCATTCTGAGATGCCCAGCTACCCAAAACTCAACGAAAGAAATTAAGTGAAGGAGAATATGGCGCAGAACAGGGGAAGGAAGCAACTTCATGTTTTCCAGTGTTTCTGAGCACACAAACCCACCCTGTGCAGCCCCAGGGGACAAGGCGGGCTGGCTGCAGGCAAAGACCGCTGCCACGCTGCCGCCACACCGCCGTTACGCTGCCCTTCCTCGCCTGCCCGGCGAATATGGAGCAATCCCGGTGTTCTGGGGTGGTCCCGGCGGAGCCCCAGGTCAATGGGGTGGGTTTCGGCCGAGGGAGAGCAGGGCAGGCGGTCCCCTCATGGCTGCCCGCAGCCCTCATGGAAGGGAAGCGGGGAAGAGTCTCACCGGGCGCGGGACATGGCGGCCCCTCACAGCAGAAGCGGCCGCACTCTCCGTACCCTCCTCCTCGCAGCTCCCGACGCCGCTGAGGGGTTGCTATGGGCACGACTATGGGCACAGGGGGCGCTCCCCGCGGGAGGAAAATGGCGGGCGGCGCGGCCATGGTGCCTGAGGGGAGACGAGAGCCCGCTCGCATTCAGGGAGGGAGGGAGGCAGCGGGGGTCCGTCTGTGCGGGCGGCGGCAGCGCATGAGGGGAAGGACTTGCACTGCCGGGTGGTGCCGACATCTTTTTGGCAGCCCCAGTGTTGTCATGGCACTCCCCAGGGAGAAGTGCAAGGTACGGATCTGTTCTTACCTCCGAACCACCGAGAGGTATTTAACCTCTCCATGCAGGATAATCATGCTCTGTCACGACCTGTACGTGTTTAACCTTCTCTCTCTGCACTGACACATTAACAGGGTACAAGGGGATGGTTTTTTTCCCTGTGTTTCCAGAGGCCTGCTTCCAGGCAGGATGAACCCTTCCCAATCGGATTTACAGTACACGGTGTTAATTACATGGACCAAGTAAAATCCATTTAGAGCTTAATTACCCTTATTGTGAAGTTGCCATAAATCCTCTTGCTCCAACTTAGATGTCCCTCTTCTATCCCTAGCAGACCGAGTAATTTGTTCCCTTTTTCTAACAGCCTTCAAACATTGGAAGACATCACATCTCTGCTCAGTCTCTTCTGAGTCTGGGGGACTTACAAGTTCAGTCTTCCAGGACATGAAGTGTTGGAGCAAGTAACAAGAGGAGTAACTCACCATAGCACAGCCCACAGCCCACCAGGACTGACTTACCTGATCCATCTCATGGAAGTATTCTTGCTCCTCTAGCTTTTCTCCAAAGCTATTTTAAGGTTGGCATCTAACAGGGCACTCACAAATACAGCTACAGCCTTAATATGAGTCAAGGAATTACTCACATCTTAAAGTGCTCGAAGATGGGAAGAAGTTGTGAAGATGGGAAGAAGTCGCAGCCAACAGCAAACCCACCTTCGCAGCCAAGAACCACGAGCGAGTTCTGATCTCCCAACCACCCTCGCTTGCAAGAGTAATACCCTCAAACTGTGGTACTGCTGTGACTTACTGCTTGTGTCTTGCTCCCAGCACTACACAAATACACACGTGGTAGCGGGAATACAACACTAAATGCACACAGCTGTATGATTATTTCCACTCCCACACGAACCCAGTTTTGAAAGGAAGAGGCTTACACTCAAATCTATGCTTAATTATATTTATTACATTTAAGAAATATTAACATCTCAGGATATCTGGTTTACCATCTAAGTCCAGTCATAAGCAACAAAAAGAAAAGTGTTAACCATGTTTCAAATGAGCATTCTTACATTCATTCCCCCCCCACCCCCACCCCGTAACGTAAAGAAAAGTGTTCAGCAGTATTAAATTCTTAGGTGGTTGACTAATGGAAGAAAAAAGAATCATTAAAAGTGTCTTTATTACCAGGCATCCTGGTTTAAGTGGTTGTTGGCACTTGTGTTCACGATCAAGCACTCTGGTTGCTTTGTTATATTCTCCCCTTCTACCCAAAACTGTGGTTTTGGTTATTTTTTTTTAGGGTTTTTTAATTTTTTTTTTAATTTCTATCTGAATATGTAAGTTTGTTCAAATAAGTTTAGAAAGAAAAGAAACCTCGGGTTGCCTGTGAGACGTTCCTGCACTGTGTCCCCACCTCTGTGAGAAATTCCTATCGCCTGTGGCATAACTGAAGGAAGATGATTTGCTTTCTGAATCTTACTGAGCCAAAAATTCTTGTGTAAGTTCAACTGAAAAAAGTACAGAAACACTGTCTCCGTTTGATGGTGTGCATAAACGTTACACTCCCATATATAGCAAAAATAGCTTTTATTTATAATTTACATTTCCACAAGTGAAAATTGTACATTTTTTACATAGACCATTTCATTCCATTTAATTTTTCACGCATCTATAGAACTTTCACACAATGACACCTGAAACTGTGCAGGCAAGTTAAATTCAAATACAAAAATGTATTTATTAACCAAGCAGTAGTTTGAGGCCCTGCCTCAGTTGAACATTTTTATTTCATATAAAAAGTATTTGCCTTCCAGAGAGAACACAGCAGCTCTTCTGTAAAAAAAAAAGAATGTTCATAACTCAAGTTAGTTTAAACAGACTCATCAGGTTCTGTCTTTATGTCTGTAGATACAGGTGTGCTGCTCTCTTCTGCACAGGCAGGAGGGGTGTCATCAGGTTCTTCTTTCACTTTAGGTGACTCACAGGACTCTTCTGTTTCTTGCTTAACAATGTCCAACATTATATTTAATGGGTTTTCTACAGGAGTCTTGCTGGGAGATGGTGTGCAATCAAAGGATGATGTCTGCAAAGCCAAAGTCAAAGCAGCATTAACACACATTACAGGAAGAATTTTTAGCTCCTTATCCCTTTCACTCTTTCAAAACGCAAACACGTTGATGGTCAGGCACTCAAAACACAAACTTCTATTTTATCAAGATCCTAAGAAAACAAATTTACCTTTTGAATGGCATTACTTTTCACAATTCCTTTGAAACAGTGTCATCCAAGCAGTGGTGAAATGCTTAACACACTACCACAAACTACTTGCCTCCCCAAGGGAACTCTACCTCCCAAAACACAACACACCGGAACACCCATCTATTCCATTTTTGCAAATTCCTCAGACTACATGTGTTACTCAACAAATCCAGGATGTGGTTTCAAACCATCGTTTCACTTCAGTCGTGTATAACACAAGCTGTCATGGCACACTGCAACACGAAATGCATCCTGGCTAATTCTGTATTACAAACTTGCCGTGTGAGCCTTGGACAAGAGAAATGGGTAGCTCTGAACGCATCTGCTCCCTGCAAAGGCAGAGCTCCAGCAAACACAGTGAAAGCCAAATTCTTCAGAAACCATGAAGAAGGATTCACTTACGTTTTGGTAATCTTCGTAGCAAGATGGATGGTAAATCTGAAAGAAAATGGTTATCTATTTAATTACATTAAATGACAGCAGGATGGTTGGTTACACACAGAACAATGACAATTACACATCATCACACAACGGTATGAGCAGGCAAAGTATGGCATCAAATATGACTGGGAAATGATTCTGTATTTATTTAGGGCAAATTATAATACAGGAGCCTGGTTAAGTGCTGGGAATTATCTTATACAGCTGCATACAGAAATAAATGAACCAGTTATCTACACCTATATAGAAAGACGTTCATTTTCCCTTTCAGCACAGCAGTGTAAGGGAAGGCCAATGAGGGTACACTAATGCCACCAGGACTTCATGCACTTCCAAGGGCTGAGATATTTATGTACTTGGAAGCCTGGAAAACTACCATACGAACCGCCAGGAGAAACACAGCCCTTAGAATCACAAGACCAGAGAATGGTTTGGGTTGGAAAGGACCTTAAGATCATCTAGTTCCAAGGCCTTGCCATGGGCAAGGACGCCTCACACTAGACCATGTCACCCAAGGCTCCGTCCAACCTGGCCTTGAGCACTAACAGGGATGGAACATTAAGTACTAAAACCCATGGCTTTCTCTTTCTTTGCTGTAATTCTGTGGGTTTTTACTATAAATATCACATGTAAGTACAATCAGATTACCTTCTCATCTACTCTAATAGCATTCTTCAGGTGCCACTCTTCCTCTTCCTCATCCCAGTACTGTT